CGATAGATGGGGGGATTTGGGGAGTTTACTCTAGTATAGGTTAGCAAAATTCAGCTGAACTAGCTCTGGTATAGGCTAAGGGTTCCAGGTTCCCAGCAGCACATCCCCACCCAGAAATTCCCAAAGTAACCCCCCCCCCCTCCCGGCAGGACCACTTACATTTTGAAGCTCAGAGGGGCCCAGCACACTTTCTTTGGAAAAGATAGAAGTGCAAAGACTGGATACATTACAAGTATATTGACCTAGTTATCTTAAACTTCAAATGAACAAGGCACAATGGAAATCTATAATCACACAAAATTGAACATCTATTCTGTATATCGCACATTGCTGAAGTGTGATTTGAAGTGTGAAAAAGTGTCATTTTAGTGTCATTTTTGTGTGACTTACACTTCATTTAAAATATCACACATGTGATCACACATGTGAATAACACTTATGTGTGATCACTCTTGGAATCACACTTGTGATCATACAAGTCATGTGATCACACTTTTATTTTTGCATGTCGGGAATGTCAATCTTCTCTGCACAGTCCTGGTCAAAAAGGGATTGAAGAGAATGGCTTCATAAATAACACCATTTTTCCTTTGGGGCAGAGTGACAGTTCCTGAGCTGGCAAGAGTTAGCCCCACCTATCTTGCTCAAGTATCCAATCACAGAGAAGCATTTTACTCATCATGCTCCCTAACCTGACAGCTTACCACTTGTTCAGATATGTCAATGCCGTACACTTTACCATTGTCCTGTTCTACTTTCTTCAATGCACTAGTCAGTCCACCTCCAGAACCAAATCCCACTTCAAGAACATTATCCTCAGGCTGAATATCAAGGTTTTCTACAGCTTTTGACATTAGGACACCATTATACTTCTGAAGGTTTGCCTGGAAAAATACTGCTGCTTGTTAAAAAGAGTTAGGATCACGAGATACAACTATTACTAAAATATTTGTAATATACAGATCTAATATGCCAAAATTAAATGACTGAAATCAAGGTCACCAATTTTGCACAATGATGTGTCTTGTCTCCTGTTGGCCTCCTAAAAGAGTATATGCCCCCTTCCCCTGCCCTCAAATACAAAAACATATCACTCATTAAAAATAAAGTTACTCTATTCCCTCCTAATCTGGGAAATTCAGTGACAAGTACAAGAATATCACCTGCCCAATTTTGAGAAAGCTTCACACTACAAAAGCAATAAACCTGTGAAAGGTTTAGTGGTTTTTAACACTGAAATGCCATTGACAAATTTGCAAAGAATTTGCTAGTAAGAGTAGCAATGGCCTTGGCAGGATCAGCCAGTTGCATTGTCTCGAAGCAATCTACAAGTATTGCTGATTCTTTCGCCCATTCGGGGGAGGGGGTGGGGAATCCCATATAAGAAGGATGGGGGTGCTCATCAGAAAGAAAAGAAACCCCAAGAAGTACCAAGATCCTATTTTGTGGGCATGGCTTGAAATGTGTTTTTTCACCCCTAAGAGGCACCAGTTCTAAAGCAACACATAAACTGACACTGACTTTTTTTGGCTCAGTACCCAAAAAGGTACCATAAAAGCTCTTGCTGTGGACCTTTTGCAGCTAAAAACCCTAAGAGGTACTGAACCCCCTTTTTTAACCCCCAAAAGGTACGATAGGTATCCCCGTCCATAGACTGTTCACAGCCCCTCTATTATTTTGCAATGCACACGAAAGAAAAAGTGAGTGAGCGAGCACAAAGCACATGGGGGTGGGGGTGGGGAGGCGAGTGAAGCAAGCTACTCGGTCCCCACCCCCACCCTGTCAAGTCTCCAGGTATCTACACTGGCGTCCTGATTATATCCGCCCGTTCAACGGTCGAATAAAAATGCATGAAAATAGAGGGCTGTGAAGAGTCTACTCCGTCCATTCTACATGGAGGGACTCCCCCCACCGGGTCCTTCGGCGAAGTTTCACCCGTTTCTATAGACCAGCAAATTGCTGCTCTAGTCCTCTAGCTCTGAAAGGGCATGGGCAAAACTCAGACTGGATCAACTATGATCACTGATTTAAGGTGGCTGAACACAGTTTTTGATACCTGTGTTTCATTCACCTTTTTCTCTAAGACCCTTGATCCCTCAGTCGTCAATAATGGCAGCAAGCTAGTTAACAACACAAACTTTGGTTTTTTGATGGTTAAGCTGACGTATGTGCCGTTGCCATGGCAACATTAATAAATATAAACAGGCCTTTAAAATTATTTTTTTTTTTTAATTTGTAGAAAATCTAGTCATTAGATTTTCTTTATAATTTGCATGCAATAAGCTTTTATGATGCTCACAAGTTAACACTATTTTAATAATAATTTAAAAGAGAGATCTTTAGTTATCCCTTGTTGAAGGTTCACTGGAACATCTAGAATTTCCTTAGTCAAAGTTCAAATCTTTTGCAATACTCCAGTTATCGATTTCCTAAAGTAATTTCGTGAAATTCTAATGAGTGGTTCACGAGAAATAGGTGTATTTCCGAGAAACTATTCCGCATTCAATCGTTCGACTTACTACGCATGCGCAACATTTAACTGGACAAAGAAAAATCTGAGGATTGCTGAGTTCTTTGCATCATTTTTTCTAACATACTTTTGTAATGAAAGACTAACCATCAATACACTGTTTCAATTATAACAAAAATAACACAGATAGCACGGGCATTGAGCAAATAAAATGCTTGCTGTATCAACGGCATGTTTGGTTTTGGCAATCCTTGTGCGCGCGCTGAATTGCATTAGCAAGAGCGCGCGCGAAAACTGTGTTCGGCCATCTTAATTGACATAGTGCCACCCCACAGTCTACCCCATGTGCACCCAGGTACTTTATCTCTTCATAACTTTTATCTAATTTATTTTGCTTAAAGGTTGTCAGTAACATGAAACAAAAGTTTGAGTCCGGAACTAAAATTACTATCAAGTCTGGAATCAACTGAATCATGTTTAATGAACAATCAACTCATTGCCCCATGCTCTGGGACTGTGGCAGAGTGACAAGACAAATGCATGGGTAAAATGAGTAAAATAACCAACTGAAGAAAGGTTAAACAGTTTTCTTTGCTCTTTTCCTTTTCCTCATTCATGTTTTACATCAGTGTAGCAATGCTGCCTATTTCCTGCACATTTCTGAAGACGGACTTACTGTATGTTGATGCATCAATTTGCTGCGTGGGTCAAACATTGTAATCTCCTAGCGTTCCTAGGAATAAGTAAGATTTTCAAGAAAGATTTTTGTTTTACTCGGTGTTTGTTGACTTTGAGAAATGATGAAACTCTAAACTACATCGTCATAACAGAGGATATAATGCAGTGGAACACCCAGGAATAAAACAGAACTCTTTAATAATGAAGCAACTTGAATTCAATTATGCTAGCTAGCAAAACAGCGCTGTTAAACTGAGTATGCATAAGTGCGCATAATTATGCAATGAGGGCAAATTTAATTTATCGCGTGAGGACTGTTAACTCAGCCTTATCAGAGAAACTACTTTACCTATTTCTGTCAATTTTATAAAATGATTGATGTTTTTAGCTGTGCACCATCAAGTTTATAATGATGTATTTGGGAAGTATGGAGGGCGCTCAAGAGTCTAGACTTGCTCTTGGCTGCGCCTCGAAGAACTCTTACGCTTCTCAGTTTACAAACCTGCGTGTATCATAATATAACTTGATGATGATGTATGGTAATCATGAATTAGTTGCTGTGATTTTGTTAGACAGCAGGTGCGGATGACATGGTGCCATACGAGCGTTTAGGAGCATTTACTCCCTCTGATCCTTCCTGTGATGTAGGGTAAGGGGGAGGTTGCTCACCCACTGCCATTGTTCCAGGGCTGTATGGAGGAGGATTAAACGTTTGCGGCTGTCCATACTGCGGTGGTGGGTAGTATGGGTAGACTTGCTGGTAGGATGGTGGCATCTGGCCCGTGTAGGGTGGGTTGCTCTGTGTTGCACATCTTGTGATAGTCGTGGTTGGTGTTACTCTCCGTTCTACGATTATCCTACCGCGATGAATTCTTCTCCGACGTCGGCGAGCGATGATAAAGCACATGGAAATCAGGAAAATAAGAAGAAGAAATCCAAATATTGAACTCGTGATAACCACGGTTGAATCGTAGCAATCTTCATACGAGTGTTGACATTTTCCGAAACAACAGGTTTCCCAACTTCCACAATCAGAGTCGATAGAACAAGAAAATCCAAGGCAGTCGGAGCCAGATTTGCACTGATTGTTGCAACAACTTTCATAGCTAGTACAATGGGAGTCTAATATACAATACCTGCCGATGCAATTTGAACCATAAACACATTCATTGTTACAGCAGACTTTGCTGAAACCGCAGCCTGTACACCAACCATCGCTTGTAGCACCCAACAAGCAAGAAAGCAGGGCAAACAATGCCAAATACGTCGCAGCCATTACTCTGAATATTTTATCGTGAAACGTTTCTCTTTCACTCTCTTTTTTTCCGCTTCGAATAAATCATCGAAAGAAAGATTACCTTGAATCACGAGATTGTCCTTCTGACGTCATGGAACACGCGATACGCGCCTCTGGAGGATGACCCCAGAGATATTCGTATCTTAGGTTCAAACGTATTTTATCTAAAATATCCATACTTAACGATCAACTCTCTTACAAATACGTGCACCATGACGTTTTCACCAATTTTTTGTCTTCTAAAATGCTTTGCACGTACGGTGTACAGGTTACGAAATTAAGAAGTTTGAAAGAAATTGTCGCGTAATCGCTTGACTGAGGAGTCTTGACATATTTTGACTCCCGCCTTGAAATACGTCGAGAGATTAAGTTATCTCCATTAAGTTATCTCCATTTCGTCATTTCTACGTCACATCACAACTTCTACGCGTAAACTGTTAACTTCTTATACCACGGAAATTACTTCCCATCATGATTAGTTTTGATACTTATTGCGAAAGCTAACTCTAGGCCACGCGTCGTGTCATAGCTCCAGTTTCGCCCCACTGAGCAAAGACCACATTTCACGCAACGTTCTCGACACAGAGCCTGAAGACTGTGATATATATGTGATAAATTTCATGCTAAAGTTAATTTATAGATCAATGTGTTTATTCTTCGACCTAGCTATTAAAACCTGGAATGGCTCTAAATGCCTTTTCTTCCGCTTGGTTCCCGGTATCCCAACTTCCTTCGTCACAGCATTTGAGCCAGACGGAATTCACCGCCGGATCACGAGTTTGTCACAACTGACATCATCGATCAGGGAAACTCACAGCCACATGTGCAATCTTTCAATCTGCTCGGGCATATCTTGGCACTCGTTATGTTTAGTTGCAACCTTGGTCACAATTAACCCCTCTCCAGCCCTGTGCAATGTTGAGAAAACACTTTCATCTAACGCAAGTTTGCATTTTGCCATTTTTCCAACATTGAAGTATTCTGTAGGTATTACGGTTATGATTTCATGTTTCTGCAAATTTTCCAACACAATTTGTCCAATGTTGTAGATTCTCATTCAAGAAGAGAATTAAAATTCCGGACAGGACAGTCGGAAATGGTAATAACCTAAAGCATTTCTTTTTTTCTCTGAGAAATTTTGTCACGCAGTCGAGTGGTAACAGGAAAAAATTAAATTTGATTTTTATTTTAAAAAAACTTGGCGGAGCAGATATAATTACTACCGCCTAACTATCGACTGTTCTGCGTTATAACCGGAATCCGACACGACGGACTGAAAATGTGCGTAATTTGGATTACGTTTGGTTACAAAGTAAGGTTTATTCCTTTTCACAGGATCTTAGGTTATTGAAGGCCCCTGAGAGACCCTATGAGGTGCTACTGATCATAACCCTATAGAAGATTTTTATCACGAATACTACCATAAAATGTCTCTTATAAGCCCTCTCCACATATTTATAGGCCCATCTACCTGTAGACAAAATATTACTTCCGATTATTA